TTGCTGCTGATCTGTTTCATGTTGCTGCTGATCTGTTTCATGTTGCTACTGATCTGTTTCATGTTGATGTGTTCATTCGTGCTCATCTGCTCACACAGACTCATGTTCGTGCTGCTGTTTGGCACATTGTTTTTATGTTATTAGTGCTTAGCGTATTTTTATTAACGTTTTTCTTAGTTCATATCTTACATCTTATTACTGTTTTTCTTTTACAATTTATTGTTGGATGTAACTGGGACCCTATGTACACAATTTTGTTCCACCACATGTACCACATGTGGTGTGGATGACAAATCAAGAAACTCTGATCACCATCCACACTGGAGCCACTTTCACATCACTATGAACTGCGAGGGTGCCAACTAAGAAAGAAGCACTGCTTCAGAAGTGCCACCTTTAGGTTCGTCTAAAATGTGCAGCTGCCCACGAGCCAAAAACCTTCTGGAGAAAAGTTTGAATGTCAGACGAGACAAAGCTTGAGCTGTTTGGCCACGATGACAAGAAATATGTTTGAAGGGGTCATGATGAGGCTTTCAAACCTAAGAACATTAACCTAAGCCCCAACCTTATCTCTACAGACAATCTGTGGACTATCCATCATCTTTACCCGCTTCTTCCTTTCCAGGTCGTGAGGGTCACTGGTGCCTATATCCATCAGTCACTGTGTGAGAGTCCTGGACTGGTCTCCAGTCCATCACAGGGACACAGAGACAAACAACCATTCACTCTCTCACTCACACCCAGAGACAATTTAGAGTTACCAATCAGTCTAACTGCATGTTTTTGGTCTTTGGGAGGAAAATGGAGTAACTGGTGAAAACCCACACATGCACGGAGAGAACATGCAAACTGCCCCCGGTTGGGATTCGACATGGCGACCTTCTCACTGAGAGTCAACAGCTCTACCAACTGATCCACCGTACCACCTGCCAGAAAACCAACCAATATAAAAAAAACTCTAGTTCCACGAAGAAGAGCTGTCAGATATTCAACCACCATAAGGTCAGAAGCTCAGTGATGGCTACACAACGCCTGCGGTGGAGGAGCAGCTAGCTGAGGGACGTTCACTGTAAATAAATATGTTTATTCATTCCACCCTGCACACAGAAGGTCTCAAACAAATCAGTAAAACCTAAATCAACATGATTCATGCTCATGATGAGTATGTTTGAAAATGTATGGAGGAATGTATCAATTTAATTAAAGTAAAAATTAATTTAAAATTAATAAAAATTAATAAAATTAATTAAATTAAATTAATTTAGAATGTATTCATTTTCATCTTTAAATCACTTCTTGGTCTGTTGCCTTCATACATCTCCTCCTACATGTCTCTGCGTGAGTGCAGTTACAGCGTGCGCTCTCAGGACATTATTACCTGCAGTGTCCCCTCAATGAGGACTGAACTAGGCAAAAGGGCCTTCTCCTGCTCTGCTCCTGTTTCCTGGAATATCTTACAAAAAGATTTGAAGCTCTCGACCTTGACCTCTCTAAGTGGCTTTAAGAATCTGTTGGACTCCTGGCAGGGACCAATGCTGACATGTTCCTGTTTTTAGTTTTCTACATTCGCCTTAGAATCTAGCTGTTTTTGTTACTTTTTTGCATCTTATTTGTAAAAAAAAAAAAGTCTGTATGCCTTTTTATAACTGTCTATTGTTGTCATCATTCTTTGTTGAAATCAGGTCTCTCTTGTAAATGAGTCCTCGAGGCTCAATGGGATTAACCTGTCTAAATAAAGGTTGAATGAATGTGCACATAATAAACGATGATGCTGGTACTAGCTGAACCTTCAGTAAATTCAGTTCACATTAATCTGTTTGGATTCAAACAGAAATTTAATATTGGACCTTTACACTGAGCTTGTTTGATTTTTTTACTTTAGTATTAAAGCAATTAAATAATGCAGCAGCTGTTTATTTTTAGTTGGAACCTGACAAAATGAACCAACATTTTTGTTCAGTCTGATCAACTTCACGTAACTTTGTTAATATGCTGCACATCTATTTTTATCATTTTAGATCTGCAGCATATTTCAAAGATGATGGAAAGTGGAACTTTGACTAAAAAATGTTTTTTAATTTTTTTTTTATTTGTAACTTTGTAATTCCTTCTCACAGATAACACAGAGCGCCCCTGAAGACCTTTTTTGACTCTGTGGAGGCATCAGCCATCTTCTGTGGTGTGGTCTGCTGGAGCAGCAGCTGAGAGGAGGTGGTTAGATGAGCTCATCTGGAAGTCCAGCTCTGTAGGATGCCCCCTGGATCCAGTGCAGGTGATGGGAGACAGAAGACCTCTGGCCAAACCAACAAACACTGTTGGATGATGTCTCCCACCCCCTACATGAAGCTGTCACAGAGCTGGAGCTCCTTCAGGGACAGATGCTGCAGCCGACGTGCACAAAGCAGCGTTATCGCAGGTCCTTCCTCCAATCAGCTGTTTCTCCATTTCTTGAACATAGTGGGGGGGTTTTTTGTGTGGAAAAACACACATCCAGATGTTGCACACTCTAAATGATCCCACTCAGTTACTGTACAGTCTCCTTCGTTTTCTGTTTTGAATATTTTCTACCTTTGTGTGAATCTGCATTGTTGGATTTACCCGTCACTTTGCTGCTGCAGCATGAATTTATCCACTGAGGGACAATAAAGGTTGTGTTTAAAATACTTTGATATCAGTGATACCAAGTAGTGAAAAGTGGCTCCACATCAATATGGCAACAATCGTGTTAAGGTTTACAACAATGCTGAGTCAGCTTTGTTACATAACTACTACTACTTTCTATTCCCTGTTTTTTATTTGTCTTTTCTAGACAGTTATATTTTTATTGTTGAAATGAGTATTTTTTAATGGGAAGAGTTTTTGTGTTTTAGAGACTCACCTTCCACAGAGATGTCCTGGATGGCAAAACGCAGGATGATGGTCCAGATCATACCGAGAGTCATCTTCACATTACCGTCAACAATTTCTGCACAGACACACGAACGCATCGTTAGCGACAGTAAAGACTAGAGGAAGGACCTTCGCTCGTGGCTGTTCTAACATGTCTCTGTCTCACACGAAAGTAACGTTTAGAAAAATAAAAAGTCAAGCTCCAAGATTAAAACGTACTGTTTGACTATGATCAAATTGAGGAAAATTTAAAACGAGTCACTTATCGACTCTGATATACTAGTACCACACAAAATAATTAGTAAGTGTAATGAACTTTTACTCATCCTTAAAGGCGTTTTATCCTTGTGGATATTTTGGTTCTGAAACTTAAACTCAGATTTATTGGTTGGAGAAAAACTCAGAGCCTAAAATGTGATTGTGATCATGTTTTGTTGTAATATAGCCCGATATGTACCTCCTACTGTAAGTACCAGGTACATACAACAAGTACAGGGTATATTGTCACTTCATTATACAGCTTGATATGTACCCGTAAATACAAACCCAGTAAGTACCAATTAGTGTGTACCCAATAAGTACCCCTCAGTACTTGTACAAGGTAGGTACCCTGTAAAAACTAGATTGTATTATGTACTTCTACGTAGCACTAACCCTCTAGTATTACAGATCGAGCTTCATTGTGCTCAAAGGAAAACAATGAAGGAATTAACCTTGATTATTTAATTAATTAACTGACCTGAGAACGATTCACATCCCCTGATCCCACTCAGTGCTCGAGTAGAATCAAAGTTTAGACAAATGAATTGTTCTTAGTTTTTTAATGTGGTGCTTTGTACACTTATTTTCACAAACTGTTAAGAGCCGAGGCCTGAAGCCTGTACTGCTGCAACCGCTGGTGACAAATGAAACAGTGAGAAAATGAACACATTTCACTTGATATTCTTACTTACAAAACTTTTGCATACAAATGTATCTAATTTACAACATTTCTGCAAATTAGGCACAATTTTGTAGTCACTATTTATTTACAAAATATCTTATTTTATCCCTTAGTTTGGTTTAAGTTATCCTCTTTATTTGTCCTCAGTCAGTCACACTTTTGAAAGGTTTGGCGACTGATGAAACTAAAGATTCTCATGTTTATTTACTGTTTATTTTTTTCACTTTGACTCACAGAAACTACATTTGAGGACTCAACAAGTTTCATACACGTGCGAGGACGATGTAACTACTTTGAACAAAACATTTGCAAATCTTCACTCAAAGTTCCAGTGATCCGAGAACAAGGCCCTGGGGCTCACATGGAAACTGAGAAACATTTCAAATGTTTCAAAACATTTTAGCAACTCCCTTTCAAAAACGTTCACATTTTCTCATCAACACCTGTAATAACAACAATAAGACACATGTTTAGTAGGACTGCTGCCATTTTAAACAACTCAAGACAAAAAAAAATCTTAATCATTCATGCAAACATCTTTTTGGAAATCTTTACAACTCCATCTCTTTCACATCAGAGTTGGTACGTAGAGTTCTATTTGTAGTCTCGCTATCTGCGGTCCATTAATAATAATAACGGTACAGTAGTCCCTCACTACTTCACGGTTCGACTTTCACGGACTGGCTCTTTCGTGGTTTTTCAAAGTAAAAGTGAACATGACACACAACTGGCAGATTGATGGACGAGAAGCATGGATTGTTTTTTTTTTTTAAATAAATTATTTTAAATGATTTAGCACCTGCTAAATCATTAGGTACAGGGAGAAGTTCCCTCTGCAGCCTGTCACGATCTCCGCTCTCTGCCACCTGCACATTTCTGCTCCGTGCTGAAGCAGCTTTGCGAAGGGTTAACCCTTTGCTGTCCAGCTGCTCCGATCGACTTTTGTCTTCCAACTTAAAATTCAAAGTATGTCACATCGTAAAATCGTCATAATCACAAAATATAAAAGTGTTAAAATTTATTTTAAATTATTTTAGAACTTCGAGATTCAGCTGTTACAGTGTAATTGATCACGAAGTACATTTCTGCTCCGTGATGCATCAGCTGTGTGAATGGTTAACCCTTTGCTGTCCTGCTGCGCTTCTCTTTTACAATTTAAATACTGTAATATTTTTAATAAACAACCAGATTGTTTATTTAAAATATTACAGTACTTAAATTAAATTGGGTACGGAACCCCTGCAATAAACGAGGGACTACTGTACATGGAAAACACACATTAGGTCAAACATGTTGCATCTAACATGTTGCAGCATGTTTTACAAAGAACATAAAATAATAAACCAGAGCAAGAAGCAACATGACCTTCAGGATAAAAAAAAAAAAAAAAAAAAACAGTGACGTGTCCAGAATTATTCATTTGATGCTACAGTGCCAGGAGTATTAGTTTAGAAAACAGTGTAGCGTGAAGCTGTTACGTTTCTGAGACCGACGTTATAAAATGACAGCAGTCCTCTTTGAGATGGACCTCCATCGAATTAGCTGATAAATCAGTTTTATTGTGAAAAATTCTCTCGGATTCTTCAATATCTGGAAGAATTAGTCGAGGGATTTTTACAGCAAGTAAGATATTGATTGTTGATAACTTCATAGAGCACCATAATAAATAAAATTGGTAAATATTTTCAGTTTCTTGGACGTATCCTTGACTGTACTCATGTCATTGATTTAGTTAACTGAACAATATTTATTCATCCCTTTACGGTTACTAATGCTCGCGTGTAAAATCAGGCACCACGCCACAAAAACATTCACAGATATTTCTGGTATTCAAGGTCAGCGTTTAACTCCAGTGTTTTGATTCTTTACACCAGCCTTTTATTGTCTTGTAATAGAAACACGTTATAAATTTGTTTACTGGTGTTTTACATTGTCAGAGCAAAATGCCCTGAATGTTGAACGTTATGGGGTGTCTGAGGGACCTCAGAGAACAGCGGAAACAGGTATGAACATTGTTTAGACTTATTTTGTGAATGTTTTTGAATCATTCACACTATTGTGATCCATTTTTCTTCCATATGTTTTTCGGTGCGATTCTCGTCCCGCAGTTTTCAAACTATTTTAACAAATCATATCAAAACATTCAGCTCGTTCAGGACAATCCTGCTATGAGTTTTGGTACTGGTGCAACTTTAGCTTTGTGAAATCCTTTTCGGACATTTTTTTCCTCCTAGGAAATGAATTAAGCTCATTTTACCTCCTTCATATCTTTAGATCCGTTTATAACCTTTTACTGCTCCTTTCACATTTTGGTCTGGTTCAGCTTATTTTAGCTTCCTTGTGCAAATAAAAAAATAAAATAAAATTCATCTACTTTCAGCGGTTTTTACAGCTGTTTTGTGATCCTTTCAGATTATTTCTGCTAACAACATTTTACTGCTTCTTCTAACTTCCTTGTGCCAATTTTAGCTTCTTATGCTCCTTTCAGCTTATTTCTGCATGTTTCAGCTTTTTCTGCTATTTCAGCTACTACCGGTAGCTGTTTTGACCTAATTTTAGCTTTTTCAGCTAATTCCACATTTTTTAAACTCATTTCAACTATTTTCAGCCTAATTCAGCAAAAATATGCTCGCTCCACTTCCTTCTGGTACCGTAATTTAAACTTTTTTCAGATTTTTTTAGCAACTTTTCAGCTGCTTTTTTTTGTTGTTGTTGCTAATTTCAGCTCTTTTCATATAATTTCCACTTTTTTGTGCTAATTTCTGCGTCTTTCAGTAAACATGTTCTTTCTGCTCTCTTCTGCTAATTGAAGCTTGTTCTAACTTTTCAGCTACCTTTTTAGCATTTTTAGCTAATTTCAGTTGTTTTTTAGATAAAGTCAAGATTTTTATGGTAATTTTTTCTACTTTCAGCTTAATTAACTTCTTTATGGTAATTTCGGCTTGTTATGCTCCTTTCAGCTTTTTTTCTGCTAGTTTCAGCTTTTTCTGTTATTTCAGCTACTATTTAGCTGTTTATATGCTAATGTTAGCCTTTTCAGCTAATTCCACTTTTTTAAACCCATTTCAGCTCTTTCCACTTCCTTCTGGTAGTTTAAGCTTCTTTCGGCCTTTTTAACTACCTGTACTTGTCAGCTTTTTAACATTTATTTATTTTTTATTTACTGCTAATTTCAGCCTAATTTTTGTGCTCATTTCTGATAATTCCACCTAATTCCACAAAACCGTGTTCTTTCTGCTTTCTTCTGCTTATTCTAACTTTTCAGCTAGCTTTTTAGCATTTTTAGCTAATTTCAGCTGTTTTTCAGCAAGTTCTTCGCAATAAACACTCACACTGCATTTTCACATGAAATGCAAATTCTCCATCTGTATTTCAAAGAGCCAGAAGTAGGCATGAATCCATCTAGACCATAATGCATTGCAAACACTAACTTTGAGTATGCACATAATTATCAGTAAAAAACAGATCAATGTATAGGCAGGTTGGATTAAAGCAAACTCTTAATGTGTGACCTACATTTATTAAGCTAAAGAAGATTAACAGGCAGTGTGAGGAGTAAAGATGGATGCCTCACCCTCTGCACCAATAGACACCAGTTTGACCCCCTTGCTACAGATGAAGTCCAGAGCTTTATTCACGTTGGCAATCTTGTGGAAACGCATCTTCCCTTTGTCAGGTTTGGGCAGCCTTTCACCTGCAAAACGTAACCAAAAGAAAATGTTTGTAACGATACTTTAATCAATAACAATTACCTCCAGCTGCTCAAGACAAGTTTGTTTTTCTTTCTTCATGCTTTTAATAGACCTTAAAGCATGAGAAGATTATTATTCCACTCTGTTTTAGGAATAATCAATAGAAAAACACTCAACAGAATAAATAACTTGCTCAGTAAATTTAAGGTGTAAGAAAACATGTGAAAAAATTGTCTCGTATTTATTTTATAGCAAACGTAATTTTGTGGAGTAATTATTCCGTCCACTGATAAACAAGTGTCCATCATGAAGTAAGACTGAGTAAATAAACCACAGACGTGTCAGAGTGTGAGATGAGATCCACCTGATATGACCTCCAGCAGCAGCATGAGTTTGAGGCCATTTCTGAAGTCCTCTTCAATGTTCTCGATCTGTGTCCCGGCTTTCCTCAAGTGAGAGTTGCACCAAGCTGTGAACGTCTGACAGGGAAACAGAGTGAAGTTAGAGAGACGCCCATCTAACATGAACTCCACAACGGTGAACTGTTTCTGTAGCTGCTGCACAAGGATCTGAAACAACATGCACAGCTCAATGAGTTCAGACTGAGACGAAGGTTAAACCTGCTCAGCAGAGCCTTAACTTCACCATCTTCAGGTGAGAGTACTCAGCCATGAACTAATACTGAATAATTACTTAATTGTACTAATGAAGGGGAGTTTCTGGTTGTAACATTTACCAGAATAATATAATACACAGTAACTCTATAAACTTCTAGAGCAGGAGGCTGGAGTCATTTCCAACATCAACATAGATGTTCTGTGTGGTGAAGATGTTGGTGAACGCAGCCTGTTTAAACTCTGACACTGATGGACATGTCTTACCAGCATCACAGACGTGAAAAAAGTTATTAAGTCATAATCAGTTAAAATTGTCAACCAAGCTTGTAGAGTGAGATGTTTTCAAGAATCTAATAATTATTTCACAATGAATATATCTTTATTTGTTGTGTTGTAGCAACACATGTAGCAAAATGTCCCTGAGGTCAGTCTTTCAGAGCTCTCACTATGAAATGTGATGTATTCTACCTGTACATTCACTGAGAGTGAAAACAGGAAAATGGAGTGAATGTTGGACCAAAAATAGTTCAAGCTGTCATGTCTGGGGTCATTTTGTTCAGCACAACCTCCCATGTGCGAATTTCAAGTTGTTGTTGTTGTTTTTTTTTTACTTCTGACCTACTGTGTCAATACAATACACATAAAATCACATACAAAAAACATAAAATTCATGTAGGAACATTACTGTATTTTTACTGTGAAAACCACAAAATTCACAATGAATTGTTTTTACAACTTAGAATGCAAGAATAAATAGTAATATTCATATACATGTGTACAAATTGAGCAGAAAACAAAGTTATGTGCGCTATTTCTATTGAAATGCAGCCATTTTCTGATAAAATGCCATAAATAATTTGTGCCACTTTTAAAAACATTTTCTGTGCATCACATCCTTTTTCGGTGCTTTTCTATGTCCTGCTCAGGATCACTCGGTTCCAAAATCTGGATCTGAATTTGTCTTTTGTCATTATTTTGGTTGGAAGGGGCTCAGACAAAATGTGGTTCTGTTTCCACTGATCTTGGATACTTGGCCGATACAGCGACATGTAAATCAGGAGGCCAAAACTTTTATACAACTCTTCCATGTCCCTGTCAGTTTATATATTTATTTTTTCAGCTTCTTTATTTTCTTGTTGGTGGTACTGCAGATTGTCCTGACTGGTTCTGTTGGAGGTTTCTTCCTGTTAAAAGGGAGTTTTTCCTTTCCACTGTTGCCTTTGTGCTTGCTCAGGATGAGAGACTGTGACGAAGTGAAAACTCATCACAATCTTCTGTTTCTTTAGTTATATAACTTTACTAATTGTTGGCATTTTTAATGTATGTGGATGTTTCTGTTCAGTGTCCTAAGATGACTTCTGTTGCGACTTGGTGCTATATAAACAAACTGAACTGAATTAAATTAAAAAAGTTATTTTGGACTCTGAGGGGGGGGGGGGGGGGGGGGCAATGTGTCCAGCTGGACCCTGGTGTTCTCTGTGCCTACATGGAACCAGTTTACCTCTGGGTCAACATCCATCTTTCTCTGTTCTCCAGAGCTCAGAACCGATGCTTGGTTCTGTTGGCTCAGTCAGAACGGTTCTGGACCTGATGGGCGTGTCACACTGTGCTTCAAGCTCTTATTGCAGAAAGACACATCAACAGAAACATGTAGGATACTGACAAGGTGATATGTTTGGAAATTGTGAAAAACCTTTAACCTAATCAGGGGAGAGGGCAGACTCCAGAAACCATCTTATCACCATCAAACTGGTTGGCCCACTATGTGAGTGTGCTGCTTATGGGACTGAGTTGCTGCTCCTCAATCTGATGAAATCTTTTGGATGAAAGACAAAATTTTTCACCACAAAGAAACTGTCTAGAGGACCTGACTTAACTCTGTTGGATTTTTAACCTGGATTATTGAGCATGAACTTTGATCTTAAACCTAATCCTGTCTCACAGATCCGTCAGTTCATTGATTTAATTTTTCTCACCAGCATCAAAATCATCTGAGAGCACGGGTAATGAAGTTGTGCCAAACTCAGAACAAAGGAATTATTTACTTGTTTTAGATCATTTATTATTTTTAAATTGAAAACAAGTGACAACCTTCCACAAAATATGTGTTAAACTCTTTTGTTCTGACATTAATCATAAGTATGTTCTGCATCTTTTAAAAGTCACATATGCGACGTAAGAAACAACCTGTTTATTTGGCGATGGGCATAACGAGATGAATACAAACGGTGATGTAAATGCCTCTTAGTGCTTGCCTCTGTTTTGTCTGGAAAAATGCCTAATGGCATGTCAAGGACAATTTAAATGGTTTTATAAGACCATTCAATCAATCATTCACTGACTGGACTTGTCCAAAGACGTTAACGGTGTTTAGCGTAAATGTGAAAACAGGACAGTCATTTTAAAATGAAGAGGATGCAGTAAGTGTGTTTGGGTTTATACTGCAGAGCCTAATGCTGCCTGGGTTTGGAAGGTGTGGGGGTGTAGAAGCAGAACGAGTACTCGATCTGAACCAGAGACGATGGTGTGGGTGGAGGGAGGGACACAGCATGTATTAATCAGCACTGACAGACTTTGCTGCAGAGGAGAATTTATCCCTCTGTGAGCACAGAGTGCATTAAACTGTAAATCTAAATGTATATGTTCTTATACAGTGTGTGGGTGTTTGTTAAAAGCTACTTCCATTTCTCTGCCTTACATCTGCATCTTCAGGAGATGGAAAGGATGACAAATGGAGTAGAGCTGGCATTAGAGAAGGAGAACAGAAATATACTGACAGGGAGGGAGACAAGTTACTTTGGGGGTGGGGGGGGGGGGGGGAGTATTAGAACTATGGAAAAGTGCTCAGTGCAGGAAGAAAAACAAATTGCTCATCTTTGCGTGAGCAGCAGAGCTGACATCAATAATCAGTTGACTAACCTTTCATTTCCTCACTGGCATAATGTTTGATTAAAGCATGAATACATCATGGTTCCTCGTTCCTTTGTCTCCTCTTTGAGCTTTTTTCTGTTGTAGCAGTCAACGTAACTCATACTGGCAAATTAGGACGGATTAATTTACATTGAACAAAAATATAAATGCTTTTGTTTTTGCTCCCATTTTTCACGAGATCTAAGAGTTTGGCCTTTTTCTCTCAAATATTGTTCACAAATTCGTGTAAATGTGTTAGTGAGCACTTCTCATTGGCCGAGACAATCCATCCACCTCACAGGTGTGGCGTATCAAGATGCTGATTAGACAGCTTGATTATTGCGCAGGTGTGCCTTAGGCTGACCACAATAAAAGGCCACTCTAAAATGTGCCGTTTTGTCACACAGCACAATGCCACAGATGTTGCAAGTTTTGCGGGAGTGTGTAATTGGCATGCTTATGATGTAGAGATGGACATATCTCTTTGATGAAGCTTCATTTAAAAAATACAGTTTAATTCTGAATCAAATGACGAGCTAAAGGCTGGTCTGAGCAGGGCCGAGCCCAAAATGCATGGCCACCATCTCAAAACAATTCCAATCTAAGGTTTTACCTAAAAACTACTAATTGTTACATCATCATTAACGTCACATACAATTTCATGGTTGTTTGCAAGTGCGGCAGCAGCTAACTGTTGCACTTCCAGCAGAGGTGTCATAATATTTCTTCTGGAGTGAGTTTGTTACAGTACATGAATTGTTCTGAAATTTTTGAAACTGGAAACATTTTAAAGTGGCAGCAATCAACCTTTGTCAGAGTCACTATTAGTTCATCAGTCTATAGCCAGAAATAAACTTTCCTTAAAATAAACTTTTAAACAAAATTTAACTTTTGGGTTTAACGTTAGATTTATAAAACAAAAAAGCCTTACTGAACTTTTTTATGCACATTAGTCACTTCCTTCTAGTTGAAGTTTTAGAGGTTTTCAGGCAATGCCATAAATTTAAAACAAGGAAAATACTGAATTATATTTTATAATGGTTTAACATCTTATTTTGAAAAGTTGGCAGAAAGAAAAGATCACTCCATCTAAATTAGTTCACAGCTAACGGTAGTTTTAGTAGTACTACTTGAGTAAAATGTGAAAATGTTTTCTGCTCATTTGAAGTACACTGTCACTGATGTAAAAACTGACGTGTCGTAATCCTACTAAATTTCATATTTTAAAGGTTAAAGAGAGAGTTGTAGCGAGAGTCCTGGCAGGAATGTCCAGGCTGGGATGTAATTTGATGTAAAGGTCTCTGGAGGAGGAGAGGCCGCCTGTCCTGCGAGCCAGGGTCCTAGCAGGTGCTCATCTCCTTTGCCATGCATGACCAAATTTAGACAGACTGCTAATCCAGCCCACAGACCCCCCAAGCCAGAGTGGTGAGGAAATGAGGAGGTGTTTGAAGGAGGGGGCAGAGAGATGAAGGAGCAAAAAGGAGGTGGTAGGGGGTAAGAAGCAGAAGCTAAATTGGGTTGGCATGAGACACCACTGGACAGCTGAGAAGGCGAGATTCCTGGTTTGAACTGTAAAAGTACAAGACAGAAAGGAATGGAGGAAGAAAAGAAGATGATGCAAAGAATGGATTTGAAAATAAGATGTAAGAGAACCTAAAAAAAATTTGGGGAAAAAATCAATACGAATGGTTAGAAGCCAAGAACTGTCAGAAAGATAAGTCAAAGAAAGTTGAAGATGAGTAAATTAATAAATGTCTCCACTACATACAAAAATAAACCAGAGTTATTAACATTATCCTCTGTGAGACCAAAACTTTCATTTCTATTCTTAATCTGTCATGCTTTCTCAACCCAAGACTGTGTTGGTCTTCACAGTCAGAGTCCACCAGCATGAAGTCACTCTGTCTGCACCACACACACCACAGTCTCCCCCGTGTCCCACCTGTCAGTTT